TATCTTCCAGGTGTCCACAGGTGGACAGCATAGAGAAAAAAATTAAGGACGGGTTTATGAGTTGAGATAGGGTCTGGGAGAAAACTCTTCAAGGGCAAAACAACAAGGTTCAACTTAGAGGTACAAAGTACAGGTGTACAGGTGCAAGTAGAGGAACCTTGTGCAGATGCTCCCTGGTTATCACTGGACCACATCACTCTCCTCTTTCATTAACCTTGTTTTAGCTACCCACTTCTGTACTTCTCCCTCAGTCCATCAGACACTTCATTTCTCTCTTGCAGGGCTCAGCTGATAGGCATTTTTGCTCTTCACCAGACAGCGTGTGTTCTTGTCGGCTGCCAGGAAGCTGATCATGATTCGATTGTAGTTGTGATAGTGATTTCCTGTCTTTCAGGCCTGAACAGATGGTGTGCTGCTCCCAGTCCAAGGCTTGACTTTCATAGTGCTTCATGCCTTGGCCAAATGGCAGTTGTGGAATCGGTGCACATGAAGCCTCTCAAGGAGACCATTTGTAAGGGAGAGGAGCAACTGTGTCCTCTAAGGACCCTGCAAAGTTGTACCCACTTCAGAGGAGTGCTGGGATGCTCCTCTCTCTTGGATGCAGTCCTCCAAACTACAGTTCTGTTCCCCACCTTAGAAGTCCGTTGCTGTCTCAGTCTCTCAGTATCATATTTAGGCTTGATATTTTAGAGACTAACTAGTGGTTTATCTGGTAATAGATGCTACTTTTGAATTTTATGTTACAGGATCAATAAGGACCAAAGGAATGGGGCCCCATATGATAGGCCTGATAATGGATTTCCAGATTTCCTTCTTTCTCCAGCAGTTTTCCATTCTAACATAACAGGTTTTCCTATCTAGCAGCTATACAGGGTAACCTGATGTGGCTTCTTCTGTAGATGTTATATTGGGGCTTGCATCAGTGACAGAAGCCCCCCATACCTGAGGAGTCTGGTGGTGATGGAGCTGTCAGGAAGGGGCTCCCCTGCACAGTTCAGCAGACTTGGCAGTATTCTGACTGCCGTGTGAAGATCCATGAAATGAATGATCATCAAATGTGGCCACTGCCTGCCAAAAAATAACATTTCTCCTGCACCTCATCCTGTAACAAAACAGCTTCTTCTCGTAAAATAATAAGCTTCCATCTCTTCATTTATTGCATTGCATGGGAATGACTGGCAGCTTGATCACATGTGCCAATTTATTAACTAAATCTCATTTACGAACTGGGAACAAATTCTTTTTCTTGTAACTGCTGAATACAAATGAGGTTGGGCTTCAGAGCTGCCCAGGTGCCAGGAAACATCCTTGGCCCATTTGTCCCTCTATCAATGACAGTTGCACTCTGCCAGTAAAAAACTTGTTTTCTGATGGGCCCTGCTATCCATGAGAGGGTTGCTGAGCCCCAGGCTAAGGAATGCTTACACAGGAGGAAGACCAAGCTCAGAGACCTATCTCTGGTGCTGAGCTGCAAGAGCTCTGTTCTAGTGCAGAGGAACACATCCCCAGCACTGGCAATCATTTCTTCCAAACTGTGTGCCCTGCCCAAGTGATAGAGAGAGAGGGGCCAGCCTTGGAGCAGGCCACTTCTAAAGGGCAGCCATCAGCTGTGGCCTGTGCCCCATCCTGACACACGTCTCTGTAGTGACACAGCGCTGGCAAGAACGATGCTCTGAGACCTGTGGGGGGTACAGCAAGGCCTGCCCCCTGAGGCACACTTCTGACTGGGGCCATCCCATCCACTGCCTGCCACAGCAGTGGGAGCTCCTGTCCTCAGGACAGGCAGAGCCCAGGTGGAGACTGAAGGGAAGGGGCATCTATTAGCAGGTTTCCCTGCAGGGCTGTATAGGCTGTCCAGGCTGCTCGCTTTTCTGAGATCTCCTCTAGCTCTCCCAGAGGTAATTTTGCCTGGGTACACCCTCTTGGCTCAGCATTTCCAGTTGCTCCCTGGGGGAGCATCTTGGACACCCACTGTACCCATTAGTCCTGTGCCTACATGCAGTTCCCTAACAGGGGGTAAAGTGACCTTCTTAAAACAGCCTGGCACTCACTCCTCAGGAGAGGGTCACTGTGCTGGCACTCACTCTCTGGGCAGAATATGGTGGTGCCTTTCAACAGACACTTTGGCAGTGGGCAGTCAGGTTGAGTTTTGAAATTGCTGGGAAGGGCCAGTCTGTGATGGGTGTTTGCTGCTTCTTCATACCTGCCTCCAGGTTTAATGGTTTTTCCCAAGAAGGAAAAATAACAAAACAAAACAAATTTAAACTGTTTCTCTGAGAGCCCAGGTTGTCAAGCTTTATGCTGCTAGATAAATCAAACTAACTAACTGAGTTAATTTGTCTGACCATAAAGTGGATTCAATAAGTGTAAAACAAAACTAATTGGTTTGCTTCCATACAAATTTAATCATACTATAAAATGTGATCAATGCAAATAAAAAGCATTGAGTAGGTTGATTATCAAGAATCTATAAAGGAAAAAAATGTATTTTCTTTCAGGAATTGAAAACTGTGTGGGTTTCCATCTCTGTACTGATCATCCCATGATGTAGACCCAGTCCAAATGTGCTGTGCAGGGGCTGTGGACAGGATCCTGAGAGGAAGCACTCAGCTTCCAGTGAGCTTTGTGTTGGCTGCTGCAGCACTTTCATAGAGGCCTCTGAGATCTCAGGAGGGACAGGAGGGCAGGGGTCAGTCCCCCATCAGTGCCTGAGCCAGGCACAGTCCCTCTCCTGCTCAGGAAGGAGGAGCGAGGGGAGCACTGCAGAGTCTCAGTGGGTGCCCTGAGCAGAGGTGACAGTCGTGTTGGTTTGTCTGCAACTGCCCCACCATCAGCTGCTGCCCCTGAGCTTCCAGGAGAAGCACAACTGGGAGCCTCCTGCTGTGTCAGGCACCCGGAGAGCTTGCTTCCCCTCACTCCTTTCTCCCATCTCCCCAGATTCTGAGGTTAAGTTCTAGTATCTCAGAAAACATGGTCATGTCATAATTTCAGCCTGCAGAAAGTCCTTTCCATGCAAGGGCTAGGATCCATACGAATTGCCCTCTTCTATCTCCAACTATAATAAGGAAACTTCAAATGCTGACAGTTTTTTTGATAAATACCTAATATAGCTTAAATAATTATTTAATGCAGACAAATAGAAAAGAGAGCATCCGTAAGCTGTGTTGCAATAAATAATGCTTGTGACTTGCTGGGCAGTAGCAGCAGCAGCAGCAGCGTGAAAAAAGGGCTCTACCACAGCGAGAGAAGGAGGGTTTAGCTGAGGAGTCAGCACAGGAAGGCCCTCCTGGGTACTTGTGGCGTTGAGGGACAGGTTAAAGAGGGATAAGAACCCTCCACAAGCCAAATTAATACACAGCTGTTGAACCTGGTGGAGTAGAAGGAGCTCTTTGTTCTGCTGCTGTGCTAAGTGGGGCTGGTGGTGCCAGCAGCTGGCAGGGTCTGTGGGCAGAGGGGCAGCATTGCCCAGCAGAGGGGCTGGGAAGTAGGAGAGGAGTGGGTAGCCCCACACAGGCTGCCTGGGCAGCACCTCTGCTCTCTCCAGCTGCAGCCATGTCCCAGAGGTTCTGCACCAGCTGCCCATGCTGTCTGTGCCCCCGGAGCAGGGTGCAGAGGTTCTCAGTGTGCTGGCAGAGCCTGGACTCACGTGCAGCCTGTCCCACAGGCTGGCACAGAGTTGGACAGTTGCTGCAGCCTGGAAGGAATGAATAAAAGAGTATAGGGTGGCAAATGGCTCCTTGTGGATGGAACAGAATCCCAGCAAGGGTGCTGCTCTGCCAGGAGCAAAGCCTGTTCGCTTTTGGAGCTGCTCCTCCACCACTTTCCCAGGCTGATGTTGTGGGTTTTGTGAGTATAGCTCTCAGTCTTTCCTTGAGCTACACAGTCAATGACTGCTTATGGGTTTTTGCTTTGCTTTATAAGCTCAGTGGTATTTGGGGAAGCATCCGGATCCCCTCCATGAGCTCTGACAGATTACAAGGGCTGCACTTAACTGAGTTCACAGTGTTCCACCGTGGCAGCCACACACCAGCAGGGCTGCGGAGATGTGCCTTGGCATAGCAGAGGATAAAAAACTACAGCAGAGATGGAAGATAAGTGGCAATAAAAAGTAAAATGTGGAGTGTCTGCCCTTTAAAACATATTAGGCAGTTTATAAATAAGCTCTGTGTTTTTAGGATGAATGCAGAATTGTTCAGTCCCTGAAGAATCTGACCTTGAAGAGAAGAAATGCTGTGAGCAGCTTTCAAAATGTTCTCAGAATGATCAGACAGGACAATTGCTCTTGCTTATTATTTCAGCAGTAGTTGGTGTGTTTGGCTGGTGTGGTTTGGGAAGAAACTCCAGCCTCCTCTTTCTCTCAGGTAACCTCAGTGTGCAGTCAGAGGCGGAGAACTTGAGGGTAAAGTTACCAAGTGTCTGGTGAGATTTTCAGAGATGCGTCACTCCTGGCAGTTGGGACAGTCTTGGCTGGGTGACTTGTGTGCTGGTTCTGACAGCCAAGCTCTGAGGGTGTGAAGCTCAACCAGACAGAAGTGTGCAGCCTGGTTCTCACCACCTTGCTTGGCTGCCATGTGCTGCAAAGCTCCTGCCTGGTGAGCTGAGCTCTGCGGGTCTGCCGTGCCAGCAAAGCTCCTGCCTGCACCCTCCTCCTGGAGGGAGGAAAGAGCATCTTTCAGGATGTGGGTGACTGAGCTGTGCTGTACCTCTTCTCCAAGGGTGGTTGGACATGTATCTCCCACGTCTCACAGTAGTGAGGCAGCCTCTTTGAGGTGGGGAGGACTTTCTGCTGATACTGGAGATGTTCCCATTTGTGTTAGGTACTTAGCTTTTTGGTGGGGTGAAGTAGCAAGCCTGTGAGCAGGAGACTCTGTGGGGAGTGGGGAGAAGTGGGTTTTGGCATTGTTCTGGTAAATGCTGAGGAGTCTGATGCTTTGGACAGCTAGAGGTTCTGGCCCAAACTGGAAAAGGCTGCTGCTGATTTGGGATTCTTCTGCTTTCAGGCAGCCTGTGGTGAGATCCAGGTCTTGTCTTCTGCTGCAATATCTCAGTCTTGAATGAATGCCATCCTACCAGCCTCTGTTTGGGCAATATGGAAAACAGTGGCCCTGCAGATTCTTTTAAGGTATGGAGTGAGTGGGGTGATGAGGTGAACCATAGCCTCCCTATTTTAAATATGTTCTTAGATAAAACAGAGATTATTCCCCATGTGGAGGAATAACCAGCCAATTGATCTCTGCACGTCCTGATGCAGGAAGCCAGAAGCCCCTTGTGCTCTGGGCTCTGGCCGAGAAAATGTAAACAAACTCCAGTTTTATGTCTGACCAAGGAGACATAAACCAAGCATGTATTGTAGCCTTTTAAATATGTTGACATTTTATAATCCATCAAGGACTTTAATTGTACTTCGAGTGAGTTGTTCTATATGTAAATACTAGTTAATGTTGAAATTGTTTATAGCCAAATTGTCTGTTTATGCAAATTGTGTTCCAAGATCACAGAGCTTCTATTGTACAATAAACATGTCTGTTTTATTTAATGTTGGAAATGTTTCCTTTGGCTGCTGTAGCTCTTCAGTGCTGCTAGTGTGGGGGCGAGTGCCAGCCTCCCCGTGGGGCAGAGAGATGTGACGGCTGCTCCAAGAGCTCCTGCTGTGGATCTCACTCCCTGAAGCTGGTCCCCTGGGATGGTGTTTGAACTGCTTTTCTGCCTGCACAGTCCATGCAGGTCCTCCACAAACCTTGGGCAGCCCAGTGCCTCCTTCCACTCAGTCCAGGCTGGCGTGCACAGCCCCCACAGGTGCAGATGCTGCTATGTGAGAGGAGAGATCCTCCACACTCTCTGGCATTCCTCAGTCTGGCTTGTGTTAATTCGACGTTTTGGTGCAGAAGATGGCCAGTATTAAAACCCAGACTGCTGCTACTGGGTGTGAAGTGCAGAGAAATCAGCATGCTGCTCCTGCCTGAGCTGCGCCCAGGCAGTAATCGAGATCACCACCCCGAGATAAATCTCTTCCTGCCATCGGACAGAAGAGAGAAGCAGTACTGTGGGCTTTGCCTCCAGGTTTATTATCACGGGGAAACACATGCAGATGAATGGCTCACCCGATAGCAATCAGTCGTGCTGGAGCGCTGCCGGCTGCGATGCAGACACGCGGTGTCTGTGATCCGCAGGCAGGAGCGAGTTCAGCTCACTCGTGCCTTTGCAGTCGTGTGCAGAGGCTCTCGCTGAGTGCAGCGCCTCTGAACTGGCCTCTGTGCCCAGGCCATGCTCCTTCCCGCTTGGATTTTTCAGTCTAACAGCACTGTTGATCTGGCCTTTTTGTTTGCTCAATGTCAGCATTCCTCGGGGAATGCTGCAGAGCACTAGCAGCTACACAGCAGCCTGAAGGTGGGCTCCCATATTATTTCTTCATTAACATTTGTTGTTCATAAATATATATTCACTCCTATTTATCACAAGAACACCGATTACAAACCATAAATTCTAACTGTGGGGAATATTTCAGTCCAGTTTTATTAAAAAGTGATTTTTTAAAATGTTGCCGAGGCTTTTAGCCAGTTATGTGCTACTAAATATTTAAATCTGTATCTCTTGCGGCATGCTGAATTACAGCAAGGGGATATTTAATGTTCCCATTTCTCCAGCATAAATCTGTGAAAGATTGACTGTAAGAAAAATACAGTCAGGAACAGCCCACGTACTTGCTGAGTGCTCTCTCATGCCATGCACCCACTCGCACATCCCTGCCACTGGCAGCAACCCAGCCCGGAGGCGGTGATTGCCCCCCAGTCACTCTGTGGTCACCCCGCTGACCGAGCGGGCCGGGGGCTCTGGGCCAGGGGCTGTGGCCCCGCCACCCCACCGTCCTCACCCGCGGCTCCTGCCGGTGGCACCGGGACCCGCCCGCTCTGCCCGGGGCTGGGGGACCTGGGCTGGGGGCTCTGGGCTGGGGGCTGTGGGCCGGGGGCTCGGGGCCGGGGGCTGTGGGCCGGGGGCTGTGGCAGTGCCCTCTCAGCGCTGGCCATCCTGGCCTGGCACACGGCTGTCAGGCAGGAGCGATGAGCGCCGGGGGGCCTGTTACCCGCCAATTACACTGTGGGTTTATTGTTCGACCGTGCGCCTGCTTTACGACATGAAAAGCTTTCGACAGTTAAATGGCACTAATATTAACCTCTCCCTCATGGGCGCTAACCGTCTCCACCATTAAAAGTGTGATTAACAAATTAAGTCATCTGGAAGGGATTGGCATGTGGTGTTAAACAATGGTATAATGAATTTTTTTATGAAATCTGAACCCCTGGCTGCATGGAGAGAGGAAGCCCTGTTGCTCTTGCATGATAGCTATGGCAGCAGCTAAATGCGGTGGGAGGACTGAGCCCCGGTGTGGTGCTGGTTGCAGGTTTCTAGGGTGAGGAGGAGGCAGATCAGGACAGCGCTGAGGCTGGTGAGGCAGACAGGCTGCCTGGGCCTGCCTGAGGCTCTGGGGTTCGTTATGATCCTCGCTGAGCCAAGGGTTCTCCCCTGCTGCAGAGGCACAAGCTGGTTGCTGCTCAGCTTTGTGGCTCTATATAGCGTTTGTAACAGTCAGAGAGGCTTGGGAAAATGGCTATTGAGGAGGCTGCAAGGCAGCGATAGAGAATCTGCTCTTGTCTGGGGCAGACACCTGGATGCCCCAAACACAGCCCCTGTGGGCACGTGGATGGCAAGCACTGCGATGTGGGGCCAGCCTGGAGTGAGGCACTCCTGGCACTCTTCTAACCTGCTGGTGCTAACCACTCAGCACACTATACATGGCAATTCTGTTCTGATGTGGAAAAGCTTTAAAGTACATACACCTGCTGGCAGGTGACTAAAAAGCTGTTATTTGCTTCTGAAAAGCAATCCAAGATTGCCCATAAACAGCCTATTTGGGAGTAAGCAGGGGCTGGGGCTGGCAGTTCCTCACAGTATCCCCTTCTCCTTCTTCTTTCACCTCTTCTTTTGCTCTCATTTCCTGGCCTGTTCGTGGTCTGTGCTGGGGTTCAGAAGCTGAACCACCATGAGGAGCAACTCCCCCTCTTGCCCCCTCCAACTGTGTCCCAGGCCTGTCCCCATCTCTGGCTCGACAGTGTCCCAGGCATTGCCAGCACGCAGAGGATGGTGCTGTGTGTGGCTGTGGAGAACAAGCACTGCCCAACCAAACTTCCTGGCTGAGGAAAAGAATCAGATAACTCCTCTGCTGGAAACAGACCTGGGGTCTGTCAAACTGGGGAGGCTGACCCTCTGTACAGGGCTGTGCTGGCCAGTGAGGCAGGGCTGGGTCTGAGGCCAAGGCTGCTGGAGAACAAGCTGTGTGCCTGGGACAGCACACCCAGGCTGGCCAGGCAACGCTTCCCACCTGCTTCCCACTTCCCATCCTGGCAGACTGAGCGAGGGATGGAGGGCACAGCCCCTGCAGTGGGGACAGCAGAGGGCTGGGGGCTCCTCCAGCCTTGAAGGAGTCACTGTTTGAGTGTGACAGAGCCATGTGCTGCGCTTCAATGACGGCACCGAGAATATTCATATTGTGATTTATTCCGTTCTGTTTCTCCATTGATTTTAATTAAGTTCACCCTCTCCTGCCAAGCCTGGGGAACACAAGCAAAAATTGAAAATGTTGAAAGTCAGCCTGCTTTGCACTTGAGTCTTCCCAGGCTTGCATAGAACAAGTACAGGGAAGGGGGTCTGTACTACCACAAGGGCACTTCCTGTGCTTTGCTAGTCCCCAAATAATAAACATAAAATTAAAATCCTGTTAGGAGAGTCACAAAAGCTATTATAGCTCAGCAGCTGATATTGACTGTGATCAAATCTTTTATGTGATTCACAGCATTCTGGCTGCTCATGTTCACACCTTGATCATGTTAACTCTGGCTTGATTTTTTTTTCTCCCACACTGAAACAGAGCAAAAAGATTGAAAAAAATAATCCAATCTAATCCTGCTGTATCTGTTTGTGTCATACTTTTGCCATGAGCAGCAGTGTCTGGTGCTGCTGTGTGGCCTCTAAAGACAGGGTCCTCCTGGGAACAGGTGCTCACTCTGGCAGTGGATGTGCCATCCCAGTCCTACACAGCACTGGGGCTGCTGGCCTGGAAAACCCTATGAGGGCCCCAGGAAAACCCTATGGCCATCAAGGGTGTCATTGCTTACATGGTGTCCATTGCGTGGGGCACACCAGGGATGATGCTGCTGTCCAGGGGAGTGGCAAGGATGCTCTTTAGGGCCCCTTTCATGGAGTCAAGGGTGATGTTGTACTTCTGCAACCTATAACTTTTAAATAATCTTTGCATGTCTCTTGAATATTACAGGCAAGCAAAACTATCCCCAAAAGTTACAATCCTTAAATCAGAAACTGGTTTAAAGAACCCAAGTTCTACAGTTATCTATCTTCATTATATTCTCACAAGTTAGACTCATTCTTCATAGCAGAGAGGGTGATAAAAGGGTAAGGGTACCTCTTATTCAACTCTAAGCAATATGGTCATCAAATTAGACATGAAGAACTAGGAGATCTCAGCAAAAATTCTGAAGGGATATAAACGAGGGTGATTTACTGTTTGCCAACCTGTGCTCTCCTCTAGTCAACTGCAGTCATGGTGACTTGGTTTCTGATAGATGTCTGGAAATACCTGCACTAATCTCTTTAGAAAGCTTAATGACCTTGGGTCATTCACTTTTTGAAATAATTTAACTACTAGGAAATAAAAATAGCATAATTGTTGTAATTACACTCCAGGTCACATCCATCTACCCTTTGGCTAAAGGTCTGGATTCTCTGAAAGCAGCCCCCCTCTGGCAGGAGGTGAGCCCACCTGGTAGCTGGTGAAATGCCAGGGAGGATGATGTGTGCCATGGATCTGGGGCCACTTCCATCCCCTCAGGGCAGAGGTGCCACAAGTGTCCCAGCCCCCAAGTGAGCCCAGGAGGGCCAGGTCTGTGCAGGGCTGTGTTGCAATGAGGCAAGGAAGTTTCAGAGCCTCCTTGCTCCTTCAGTGCAGTTCCAGGAGCCCATTTGCTTTGCAGGAGCTCCTTTGCTGGTCTCAGAGGTGGCTGCTGAGGGGGCAGTCAGAGCCCCTCTAACCAAGGGGGCTAATGGGAACTTCTTAGACTTGCCAGGAAAGTGAACACGTGCCAAGGTTTGCTGTACTTGATCCTTTCCTCTCTGTGGTGGTGGTCTGCTGGAGGAATGACCCTCATGCTGCATTTCGTGGTTGTGTTGGCTGCAAGACAGCGCTTCCAAACCGCGGCAAAGCCCAGCCAGCGTGGCTCACACCAGCGTGCTGTGCTCCTGCTGATACCATTGTCTGGTGCTGAGGTCTCTGGTACTGCTGTCCTGCTGAAGTGGCCCAAGAAGCAGGGCACCCCTGCACCATGGTAGTCCAATCAAACTGAGTGCTTTTGGGAAGAACTGGCTGCTCTGCGTTGTGCTTGACACCTTGCTGGCCACGGGCCCAGCGAGGGCACCCACCACACCAGGGCACAGTGACCACACCATGCCTGCAGCACTGAGCTCACCCTGCCATCATGGCAAATTGTTATTTATGCTTTCAGACCCTGCTAACTCACGGATAATTAATGTCAGGAAGCTGCCATGGTGCCGTGGCTAATAGCTCAGCAAAAGGAGACACAATGGTCAATTAGCAGCTATTTGATGTGACAGTAACAGCAAAGGGCAAATCTGGCTGCCAGCCCCTCTGTCCCCCTTCCTCCCTCCCTGGCTCTCTCTCCTCCTGCTCGTGTGGGGGGTGTGGAGACCATTGGAGGATGGAAAGGGCCCACAGACACAACCTTTGCCCTGTGCTTGCTGCAGCTTCACCGAGGCTGGCACGGACCCCAAATGCCCGGCTGGAGGCAGAGGTATGTGCTGGCATCGTAGCCATTGCCTCGCCATCCAGACATGGGGACAGGGTGGAACAGCAGAATCCACTGCAGTGACAGGCCCCCTTTGCTGGAAGATAAACTGTTTTCCTCTGGAGAAACCCACATTATGAATTTTGCAATATTGTTAAAGTATTAAATTAGAAAGAGACCTCAGAGCAATAGAGAAGTAATATCTGCATATGTGAGGCCTCCAACTCTAGGCACAGCAATATTAGAGGATTTGTGAAGTTTAACACCATTCTTTTATCTCAGGGCTGAGGCCATAAAATGAGACACCATGAAAATAAAAAGGCATTGAGGATGAGGCTAGATCTGTTCTATCCCCTCTGAGGGGATTGTCAGTGACCCAACCTGCTGCTTGCTGTCACAGCTGTGACAATTTTCCCAACACAGCATCTATCAGTTCTACTTGCAGCAGGGCTGGGGAAATACCCATTTGTTTTCAGCACCTGTGCTGCTATCACTGTCAGCGTGATCTGGGACCCAGCTCCCTGTGCAGGGCCAACTGTGAGCAGAGCAGACTTCTGAGACCTCCCAGGGGCTTCTCTCTCTGCAGGCCACTGGAAATGCTAGGAGCT